TTTTTTTTTTAATTTTTTGGTAAATCAAGGACCTGATCAGATAAAATATCTGCTTTATTTTACTAAAAAGTAGAGTTTGGCCTTGCTTGACATACTTTACGCTTGAGTTAAAAATCTCACCCTAATTGTACGGCCATTGGAGGCTGCAGAGATGCTGGCTCCTAGGATCTGACTGGTGCTGTGCATGCACATTTCACTTGTTTGTGTCCGAGGACTCCTACAGGAAGCAGCATTGTCCATTGCTTTTTTTCCATACTGTGCTTTCTTCCAATTTAGGGCCAATACAACTTTTTTCCTTCAGTTTAGTTCAGGTATATAGTCTGTCAGCTCTGCTAGTATATTGTTTGTCAACACTGTGGCCAAGGGTAGCATCGGTGTTTTCTTGTGGATACTGAATGGAGACTTGAAAAAGAGGAAAACCTTGGGGTCATACTTATGTATGTACTATTTGTGACAGCTCTCAACTTCTTTACCAGCCAATCAGAGTGCAGGCTCTTGATGGTTTTTCAGTTATGTGCAAGTTTGCTTGGGGAGTGACAACTTTTTGAAATTAAAAGTGACTTTCAGTTATCTGTAGTATATGGTCTTTGTTACCTACTGTATCCTTTGGGGTGCATAATCAACTATTGGCTATTCATTTTAAAAAAACTAATAACCTTCTAAATGTAAAACTTACCCCAGAAGATGGATGAAATAGATTCAACACTCCTTTACTTTCAGCCTTTAAGACAATCTACAATTTTAGAAGTTTTTCTTTCAAAGAAAGATTCTCAGATATAAATCAGAGTGCTTTTTAGAAAGATTAGTTAGCTACATATGGTGCTGCAAGTGTTAGCCTCACTCAGGAGGCTGTGGCAGGAGTATTGCTGCAGGTTTGTGGTCAGCCTGGGCTACATAATGAGTTCAAGGCTAGCCTTGAACTACATAGCAAAATACTATCTCAAAAAATTAAAAAGCAAAACATAAAAAGATTTGTTTACTCAAACTGTTGCAAATAAGGGTCTCAGCATGCTCAGTGAAGGCCATATGGCATGATGGGGAAAACTTTGGATTTAGGGGGCAGAAACTGCCTGGTTTCAGATCTCAGCTCGGCCAGTTATTCACTGCAGGACCAAGTTAAGTGAACACTGTAGGTTAGTACCAGCATTGCATGTATTGTGAAAACCTTGCTCTGGAACCATGAAAAGATTTTAAAAGGATTCTTTGAGTATCTTTCACGTCCATAGCACTTACTAAGTATTGAGAGATGCAAGGTACTTAAACTTAAGCTTCTTAAGAAGCTTATAATAAAGTTGAGCAAACAATTCAATTCAAATATTCATTGGTTGTCTCTTTAATACAAGGCACTGTACTAAATTCTGCAGAGAAACAAAAATTAAAAAACATGCACCCTCACTTTTATGTGCTTAGGTTACTGCTGGCAGGGATAGTACCACATGACTATGAATAAAACAGGCTAAGATTGAATTTTGGGAAGCAGTGATGCTGCAGGAGACAGACATCTCTTGAGCGAGCAGGATATACTTCGTGAACGAGCTGCCATATATGATGGCCCTTGAAGTATGAAATGACCACAAACGCCCCACGCAGAAATAACAGGCGTCTGCGTAAAACAGATACTACTGTTTGACTGGGGAGTGATGGAGAAGAAGAAGGCATTAGTAGGGAATCAGTGAAAGAGCACAGTCAGTAATGGATAGAGCCTTAATGTCCAGCAGAGAAGTCTCAAATTAATGCAGTAGATGAAGGGAAAATTCAGATGTTTTCAGGTCAATGTTTTCAGCATTGGCAGGATGAGATTGTAATTCAAGGAGGTTTTTTGTTTTACATTTGGGTTTTTTTGCTTGTTTGTTTTTTGTTTTGGTGCTGGAGATTGAACTTGGGACCTTGTACACGCCAGGCAGGCACTTACACTGTGAGCTGTCTCCAGGACCCTCAAGGAAGTTTATATGGTGGCAGCAGGTGTAATGTGTGTTTGCGCAAGGAACCAAGACAGAACTCCTGTCATAATAGTTTTAGTAAGAGGCAGTGACCCTGAACCAAGATGATGGCAGAGAAAAATAACAAAGATTTGGGTAAAGTTGTAGAAGTCAAAGTAGTAGAATTTGGCAGTTCATTAGATATTAAAAGAAGGGACAGGCATTAAGAGACAAGGGTAATACCATCATCTTGACCACCTGGAAAAATGATGGGTTGGTGCCAGTGGAAGTAAGTCATGAATGCCCTCAGTGAAGTGGTGCAAACAGTAGGGAGATTGTGCTTGATGAAAATGTAAAGTGTGTGTTCATTTCTGTCCAACCTTAAAAAGGTCATAATGTGGTCCTCTAGAAAGCCATAATGTAAGTGACTTCCAGTTCTGTGCACTGTAAGAATTGGGAGACATGAAGGCCGAGGAGATGGCTCAGTAGAATAAGCGCTTGCCTGGCAAGCCCAAGGGCCTGAGTTCAAGCCCAGTTAAAAAAAAAAAAAAAGAATTGGGGGACATGAAAGCATCTGAGACATAAATCTTACCCCTCGCAAGCTCATTTTCTCCTAGAAGATGGAAGGTTTGTGACCTAAATGACCACAGTTTGAGGTACAATGTGAAAGCTGGGGTTGGTTTTCAGCAAGTAAAGCTTTAGGAACTTGTAGAACATCACGTAGAAATATCTAGTGGAAGGGTAGAAAGGCTAGTGTGGAGTTCTGACGGGGGCACCTCATGTACTTGATTATGTTCTTGTTGCTTACATAATGAGTTAGCATAGTTGGGCCTTCAGGGGCATGTTCTGATTCGGCTGAACACTCTGAGTACATGGGACACCCTGAAGAGACAGGAGCCAAAGCGTGCGTCCTGGGACGCTAAGACCCACGTGGAGGCCCACCCTGTGAGCCTCATGGGAGTGTGTGTGCTCATGGGAGGTTTTGGTTTATCCATTGCCACTGCCTTTGCTCACAGTATCCATCCATGTTGTCAGTATGGTGGTTCTTCTAAGACCTGGACTTGCATGGTCAGAGCTCAAACTGGAACCTGCCTTCTTCCTTCATACTGTACCCTTGCATTTTTGCCTGGTTTACTCTTACTTGGTTTTGAGACTGCAGTTAATTGTTTCTGTCTGAGAGAAGCATCTGTAGACCTCATCAATTTCATTTGTTTTCTCTATTTATGTTCTTTATAGTATGCAGCATAAATGTTTTGTAACAAATGTGAATAATTTTTTTCAGATACTTTCCTCTCTTAGACTGTTAGCTCCTGACACTAAAAATAATATTTTTGGCTTATAAGTTAAATACTTAACACTTAACAATACAATATATAGCACTTAGTAGTTGCTCAATAAATGCTTAAACCTTCCAGGCAAATGAGACCTTTGACTGCTGTTTCTGTGGCTGGAGATCATGCTGGATTTTTGAAG